AGTTCCTGCTTTATTTGTGCATTGTGCAGGTTTCACTGAATGTTGAGGACCTTTGCAATACCTGAATGAAAGACATTAGTAAATGTAAAATATAAATAAATTATAAAATGTCTCCTTAGAGAAGTGTCCTGATGATAAGCATGCCATTCTGTGAGTCTTACTAGAAGTCGTATTTCTGTATCTATTGCTTAGCACAGGTAAAGCTGAAATCTGGAGTGTCAAGGGATATCAGGTGGTCACAATTTCTACTCATTTGATACCAATGAGTGTCTCTTTAATACACGAACTCTTTCTAAAACAAGTCATGGAGAATTATCCCACATCATCAAAACATTGCCATTTATAATACACCTATTATCAATGCCCTTTTCCATCGCAGTTTCTAATTATCTGAATTTGACACTGATTAAGTATTTTCATGACTTAGAAGCTGAAATAAGGCAGTATGTTAGAGGAAGATAACAGACCTTACTTTGGTAAAAATACAATGCTCTTTTCTAAATATGCCCTTTAAATAAAAAGTTAATTCTGGAAAGAAGTAGTCAATTATGTTCATTATCTTCTTTCTTCGTTAGGTAATAAGTTGCCAAAGTCTGGTTTTCACTTTGGATATTTGCTGGCCCGCTGAATGTGGCTGAGGAAGCTTTGGATCCTGAGTTTTTTATTTGATCGTGTGAATTTGTTCAGTGCTCTTGTTATGTAAATGTCCTCAATATCACTGTTGTGGCAAAATTATACATTGTCTTGATTCCACTCTGCTATTAGAATTTGGTTTCTATTGGGAACTCTCTCCTTCATGACATTTAAGGAGCACGGATATAAACTGATTTTTTTTTTTTAAGATTTATTTTAGAGGGTGGAGGGTAAATCCTGTGTTGTTCACATATAGCTTGGCATTTGTTTTTTGTGATTTGAATAATGCATGTCATTTTTGGTATTTTACTGATGGCTTTTGATTTCTTATTGAAGAGGTCTGAAATATTAGCTTATGGAGCTCTAACAGCAGCAGACTGTGAGCTACCATCACCTTCATTTAGATTAATTCCTTCATCTTTTGCCCCTTGTATTTCATATACTCAAGCCATAGAAGATGCAATAGAAATGTGGTTTAGAGAGAACTCAGTATTATTTTTAGTCCTCTGTAAAGGTCAGGGGTTTTTTTTGTCTTTCGTTCTTATATTAAATGCACTGGGGTTCAGTTTTTCTTTAAAAGGAGCCATATTAACTGCTTAACTGTCTTATTTACAATATAGATATTTTTTGCAAATATGAAATAATCCCTGATAGTTCTGCCAGAAGCAGCAGTGTCAGGTTGCCTGTCACAGCATTTCAGCCTCTGTATTTCAGCCTTAGTGTCAGTGGAAGCTGCTTTACACCACATGATGTGACAAAGTTTAATGTGCCCTCAGCAACCATTGGCTCCTGGGTGTTTGGAATATCCCAGCAACATGGGATATTCATATTCATCTGAAAATGATACACACACTTTTCTTTCTAGACTATGGAAAAATTACATTATAGCACTGGGCTCCGAGACTTCAAGCCTAATTTGCCACCTCAGGGACTATTAGCAAGTTAGAAAACCACTGTGTATGAATGACTTTCACATAAAAATGATAGACTAACATTTTTGTTATTGAAACCACATTATGAAACTGATATTTCTATGCCAATTTATTCAATATCCTAGATTAGATTTCTGGATATTTGGAAGGCAGTTCTTATCAGACTTTGCAAATAAACTGATTTAGTTTAAAGTAGCTGATTTTTTCTTGTCACAAAGCAATTGTAATTTCTTTTAAATTATGCAAAACAGTGGCAAATAAATATATATAGTAGCTCTTGCTACTTCTTCCTCACTTGGTATGGTGTGTATATGTGATTTATCACTTTCAAAGCAATGTATTGTGATAGCAGAAGAGAAGATCGTATCTGGGGTATAACCAGATTATTCTATCTGGTTAATAGGTCCACCTTGAAAAAATGTGGATTTATTTTTAGTGATATGTTTTTAAGAATACAACAAGAAACAAACAAAATGCAATTTCTGAGCATGATCATCTAGAGAGAATAATTCCTCAAGAAAATCAGGTGGAAATTTTGTTTTACATATCTCCTTTAATTTAAGTGCAGACCTTGAAAGAGAGCAGGTGGCAGCAGAATCCTTGGTCTCAAGGGAGGAAAAACGGGAGACAAAGAGGTGGTTTCTAAGGCAGAACAAAATTGCTGATTTCAGGACAAGGCCAAAAGAAAGCAGGATTTCTTACTAAAAGAGACTGAACATCCCATTTCCAAGGATGTACTAACATATCTGTTGTCAGTCATAGCCATCTGTAGATACTATGTATGAGTTGGTGTGCAAAACACAGAGACGTGTATTTGGCAACTTCCTGCTGATCTTTCTGTGAAATTCAGCTTTCTTACAGGTTAAAAAGGTATCATTGAGAAGCAAATCTCGCGGTTCTTGTTTGTACTTATTAAACAATGGTAAGGAAGTAGCAGATAGTTTAACAGAGGAATGGAGTGGTTGAGGTCACTGGCTGGTTAAAAAGTGGATTAAAGGAAAAACCACTTCAGTGACTGATGAAGGCAGAGGTGACAATTTTCCAGAGGCAGTAGAAATGAGGTGTCTTCAGAAGTCTGCATTCACTCCTCATCTGCTTTTCATTTTAGCATAAGAAATAAGGGATCTAGTGTTTATTTTTGGGTCATGTTGCATTCTTATTTTGGAAGCCAACTGCAGATAACTAAGAGTGATACTTAGCTGTTCTAAGGATTTTGCATCTATCAACAGCAAATTCCTGTAACTGATGTTATTGACATTTCACATTGAAAAGGTCACACACAGAAAAGTGGAATGACCTGGTGGAAGAGTCCCAGAGACAGGAACTGAACAGTCCCTGATTTCATAAGACAGGGTTAATAATTGAGATGCCAACAACTGCAGAAATCAGTTGAAACACTGCTTAAAGGACCGGGTGAAAGACGGGGAACAGCAGAAGACACCTGCCATTGCGTTTATTGAAGCTAAGATTTCACAGGGCCATGGGGTGTGTCAGAAGAGGTGACCTGACTCAACACAAACCGCACGTGTGAAAATGACTGAAATGCAACACTTTAGTTATGCTCCTCCAGGCAGCTCTAATCCTGAAGATCTTTTGTTCAAAACTAAGTTTGACACACAGGGCAAAAAGATAATGATGATTGCGAGACTGTAGCAAGCAACAAGCTCTAGATAAAGGAGTAAGGCAAAAATAAGAAAATAAATATGGAATTTGAAAGTTTCTGAGATTTTAAACATATATGAAGATTTCAAAAGATGGTGAAGTTATGCTACCTTTTTGGTATTATAATGTGTTGCAGGGTTTTGACAAACTGAATTTTGACTTGTTTATAAGACAGCTTTTGTCTATGCTTTTATTTTACATAGTTTCACTCACCACATAGTCTAGCCAAATACTAATTCTCCATGTCAAAGAGTGAGTAAAGATATTTCAGTTTTATACCCATTTCTTTATAAGCACAGTGAAATACATTTCAGGGAAAATATTGTTCAAGATCTACTTTTACAAAGGTGTTTGTGTTAGACTCTTTTGCACCTAAAATGATGAAATACCCTGGAAGTAAAATCATACAAGACAAGCTATTAAACAGGGCAGCTTGATAATACTTTTAGTAAATGGCAAACGAGAGTATAAGATAAAATGTTTAGCATGTTGTTCTTTGTCCTGTTCATATAATTTGAGGCCAGAATGATGTAACACTACATCTTTTAGTCTGACCTACTGCATATCTTGGGCCACTAGATTTTGCATATAAGTTCAACTTCTTTGTTGGGATACTGTATTTGCCAGTTATTCATACAGTATTTACATATTATTTTCCACAGAGACATTTTGTGTTATTAAGAGATTTCCAAAGAATAAAATACAGCTTCCCTCCACAATTTGTGTCAGTGATTATTCACTCCCATCAATAACATTTCTTATTTGAATTTACCCACCTTCAACTTCCAATGACTTTGGAAGTCCATTGACTTCCATAAGACATTGACTTTCTTATCCTTTTCAACTACAAAGTTGAAGGGCCTTTTAGTTTGTGGTATTTTTACCTGTAAAGGTATGTATGTGCTTTTATCAAGTTGCATCTCCTTTTGTAGCATGGTATGGGGACCAATCTCTATTTATACAACCCTTAAATCAGCTTTGTGGCTCATCACTTCACTTGCATAGTTTTCAGGTGTGCTGGCCATGAAGCCAGCATCCCATGGGCAGTCTGGATGAAATAAACTCCTTCTTTTATTTTACACAGATGTTGGGCAACCAGGTTTTCATGCATACAGCGTGCACTTTATTTATGTTGCTTAGTGCTTGTCTTTTTTAATCCAAGCAAAATTGAAGTTGTGTCAGGGGAGGTTTAGGTTGGGTATCAGGAAAAGGTTCTTCCCCCAGAGGGTGGTTGGGCACTGAACAGACTCCCAGGGAAGTGGACACAGCATCAGCCTGACAGAGCTCAAGAGCATTTGGGCAACGCTGTCAGGCACGCGGTGTGACCCTTGGGGATGGTGATGTGCAGGGCCTGGAGTTGGACTCGATGATACTTGAGGATCCCTTCCAACTCAGCATATTCTGTGATTCTGTGAATGACTGACCAAGTCTACTTGGCATCTACAGGGCGACAATAAAAGCGTTTTCACTCATGAGCGGGCTGGGAGCAGTGCCCCACATCCCGCCACCTGGGGACACCCGCGGGAACGCATGGAGCCCCCGGGCACGTAACAAGCACCCGAGCCCGGCCGGCGGGCGCTCGGCTGGGGGGCAAACGAGGACATGCCGGCGGCTGGGGCCGAGCCGGGCGCTGGGGAAAGGCGGGAGGCGGGCGAGCAGCGGCGCTGAGGCGGCGGGGCGGTGCCGCCGGCGGGGCAGCCCGGGAAGGGCTGTGGGGGTGTGATCGCCGGTGTGCGGCGCCGCCTCCCCGCCGGGTCCCCTCCCTCCCTCCCTCCCGCTCCCTGGCTGCCCTCGCAGGCGTGAGGCGGCGCGGAGGGAGCGTGCGGTGCTGTGCGGGCAGCCCCTGGCCGGAGTCCAGCCGAGCCCCCGCACCATGCCGGCCGCCGCGCCGCCCCCGCTCCACTCCGCGGCGGGCGCCTGCTGCCACTGCCAGGGTGAGTGCCCCTTCCCCTTCCCTCAGCCCCTTCGCCGCGGGCAGCCCTCGCGCCGCCCCAGCTGGACGCTGCTCCGACAGGTCGCCATCTGTGCGCTCGTTTCGGGAGGAGGGGGCAGCTGGCGGCGCCCCGGCTGAGGGGGACGTGGGGCGGCGGCGGCGAAAGTTCCTGCCCAGGTCCTTGAGGGGAGCGGGGGAAGCTTTCGGGGCCGTTTGGGCTGGAAAGTGGGGCTGGAGACTGACGGAGGAAGAAAGGTACGATGCCTCTCGGCCGTGGGATTGAGGCGAGGGCTCTGGGAGGGGAGAGGGGTCCCCGAAGGTCCGGAGTTGGGGTGGTTATTTCACCGTGCTCCTTTAGCTGCCTGTATTGTGGGTTCGCTGGGGAGTGGGTTGCTTTGGAAGCAGAGCAGGGGCAGCCGCAGCAGGGGGAGGCGGTGGCTGGCGCGGGTCGCGCCGCCCGTGCCCCTTGCCGAGGCTGAGCGGCACCGCGGCAGTTCCGCGGCGAGCTTCGCAGGCTGAGGGTCAAGGCAGCGCTTGCCGCTCGGAAAGCAGGCACGGTGTCATCTGTGCGGCCATAAAAACTGAAGATTTGAAGTAACTTGCACTCTTAATAGTCAGCATGAGAGTGCTTCACTGGGAGCGAATGCTTGTGGGCTGCTCAGAGAGCACTGATGCTCTGCAAAAGAAAGTAAATAGAATGCAGTGTAAGGGTTTTAAACCATTGCACAACTGTGTGTTAAAACACACTTGAGGCTGATGAATCTTCCCGCAGCTGGGAAATCGGTACGGCTGGAGGTACACGGGTTACAGGCAGGGGGACAGAGTGGGGAGGGCTCTTGAGTCAGATGGAGATGCTGCGATGTGTGATAGCCAGACCTCTCTCGGGAAGAATGCTGGCTTTGCCCTTGCATCCATCCCCTGGCTTCTGTAGTTATATCAGTTGTGTTTGCTTCTGTTTAATAACTGAGCTGATATTTATAGGAGAACTACTCCATAACTTTTCCCTGTGCAGCATTATTTTCTGCCTTCCTCAGGGTACATTCAGTATGCAATGTCAGCAGGACTGGACGGGCCACTGGTTTGAGCTAGTGGAGCAGTTTGCAGGTTGTGAGACACAGTATTTGAGAGCAACTCCATAAACTGAAACTCTCGCTGCACTGAGTACTGAAAGGTTTCCTTTTTCAAAAAAGAACAAACCTAAAACCAACAAAAATTCCCTTGCAATAGGGTAAAAAGTTTCTTCTTTTTAAAAGAAACTAAAAAAAAAATCTAAAAAGCTCTTTCCTCTGAGCATTTAGATTGAAACCCATCCTGTGTGAGGGTATAAACTGAGAGTTTATCCTTGAATCTGATAATTTGTTGTGCATGTGTTTGATAGTAACTTTATAGAGACATGAAGATGTGCATATATGCAAGTTTGCATGCAGTTTTGTCTTCCCACTTCCTTGTTTCCTTTTCTTCTAGCCCCCTTTTTTCTCTTGGTGCTCCTTCTTGATTTTTTTTTCTATCATCTGAATGCGGTTTTGACACTTTGAAATGTTGAGAACTCAGCAGACTCCCAAAACAGTCAGCAAGTGAAATGAAGCTTACAAAACATATTACAGCTGCTTTATGTAGTAGAAGTGTAGTTATTATAGCAACTCATGCTCTTCTCAAGAGATAACTGAATTTTATATCTCAGGAAACCACCCTTCAACTTTCCAGATGAAACTGATCCTGCTGAGTTAGTCCCTTTCTTGTCATGTAATAGGTATGGATCTTCTGAAATAGCATAACCTTTTCCATGAAAATTTTTGTAGGATGTTCAGGCACATCAGCTGAGAGTTAGCTTCTGATAAATCTCCATCTGTGGCTTATTAACCTGAATTGGCTAATTGGATTTAAACTGTCAGCAAAGATAAGATAACTTGATTTAATTCAAGTTAGTGGCAGCTGTTCAAACCTCTGAAATTGAGTGGTGTTTAAGTTACCTTGTCTAGATTGGTTTTTTTTTTTTTTAATACTCAAGTTAATTACCTTGGGAATGCTAGCCTGACTTTTGAATGTATCTTTATCTGGTAGTGTCACTACAAGCTTTGTATCTGTTTTCACTGCTGCTTTTTCTGGTCATGTTCCGCAAAGCGTCACGATTTTGGCACCAGCTGGACTTACAGCGCGTGGTGACTAAGGGAAGTTGTGTGGGATTCATTTCCCCATTTCCAGGATTACCTAGCTGGGTTTGTTTTCTGCAGAAACATCTCTAGTTTTGTAAAAAAATGGGAAGTTCATGGTCTTTCCTTCTTATTGAGCAGCTCTAGGGCAGATGGAGTTGGTTTCTGTCACTGATTTTCTCATTTCCTTTAAGTTAATGATTCCTTGACATTTAACAACATTTGAAATTAGTGTTACATAGATTTTCTTGTAAATAAAATTAGAATCTTTCTTGTAAATATAATTAGAATAAGAACAGTATGGTGATTTTAGCTGCCTCAGATCTCACTGAAGCTAATGTGAAACTTTAATTAGCTTCAGTGCAACTTGAATCGGAGCTGAAAATGTGGTAGTTGAAGAGGTGAATGTGACATTTCTTTTCATAACAGTATACTGTTTTCCATATTTTTCTCAATTTCAGGATATGGGCTCTGTCCTTTTGGAGTGTTCACTAGATTCTGGAAACAATGAGGAAAGAGTGGGAGCTACTGCCTTGATTGATTCTAATGTAAATTTGGAGTTGTGGTAATGCTTGCACATTGTCCATCTTGCCTAGCAGTAGTTGGCTTTCACTGTAGATGAAAGTCAGGCATGTTTACCATCTTCTCTCTGTTGCTAGCATTGTTTACGCAGTCTAATTATTGTAAGAATGCAAAACAATTATGCCACATATTCGTGGAGGAAGCTCTCAGCAGACATTCTGAAAACACTGTCTCCCACTCCATCAATAGTGCTAGCCTGTACGTATTCTCCAGGTTTTAGTTTTCTCATCAGTCCAAATAATGTAGTTAATGGAAATGCTGGGAAATGTCTGGTGATGTGAAAATCATGATCTGCTTGTCATCATGCTTTTGAGTCTAATTAGTGCTGGCTTACAGTTTTCCCTGAGAAACTCATCTTCCTTTATAAGTCCTGTGAAACAATTTGTTTTGGAATGTTGACTTCAGTATATGAATATCTTCTGAAAAAGTGTTTCTGTAAAAATGGGGTTGGGAATTCTGCTTTTGTATGTGAGTTAACGTCTCTTAAATGTGCTGTATTTACAAAGAAAACTTCTGTGTGATTTCCCCTTTTGCAAACCAGATGGAGAATCAGACTCTGGCGGGTCTTTCCTTTAGTTATGCAACGAGGTTATTGGTAGTAAAGGAACTGGAAGCTTAATTAAACTCTCAGTGACACCTCTGCAGGCTCTTTTATTTTCACTGGGTTTGCTCAGTTGCAACCGATTAGTCATCAAGTTGAGATTTAGGAAGCAATGCAAATAATGTCTCCCACAAGAAGAAACAGAATCCTGCTTCTTTGACTGAGGTATTGTTGGCTAACAGGACTAAAAAGCAGCTGAAAGCTTACTTTGTAATGAAACGTGAATAATTAATTTAAAATATATGGTACTTCAGGAGTCAAGAGCATCAACAATCAAGAGCTCCCTGTACAGTGAGCCTGGAGAAGCACATGGAGGGCTTTGCCAGATGGATTCTGGCAAAAGCCACAGTTGTGTAAGATGTTTTTGTTTCCCTCTGTCAGTTCTATCCCTCTCCTGAAAGATCCTTGATGGAAAGTCCTGGACTGCAGAGCTGACTTCCCTGGTTACTGGGGCAGACCCTAAAGCAGGAAAAGTGCAGTAAGCAGCCATGGCTGTTCCCAATAAAATACACAGCCTGTCATCTTTGAAAGAAATTAAATAAATGAGCAGTTTCATAATATTCTTTTTTTGGTTTTACGCAGCTTAAACCAAGCCTCACACCTCCAAAGGCACTGATTCATTTCACGTGCAGTCTTAGATTTCACATAGTTCTTTACAGAGTATGCATCTGTATACTTCTCTACAGTAGAAGCATAAAGAAAGACTTTTCTTTATGCTCGCTTTTTAATTTGCTACCCTTAAAATGTCAGAAAGAAGATAATGAAAGTGGGGTTCTGCTCCAAAAAAAAGTAAAAATTATGGCACTTGTGAGTCATTACCAGTCTCCATGAAATCTTTACCTTCATCTGCTTCTCTGGGTGTGATTCAGCTCAGTTTAACACTAACACATGGCAGTAACCATCTGTGTTTGCTGTAAATATTTTATTTTTTAATTACAAATGGCTTGATTTAGAAAACCTGCAGCGGTACAGTGGGGTGGTTGTGGGCCTGCAGGGGAAGAAGATAAGCACCTGGGAAGGTAATTTTTGCCCAAGCACTGTTGCAGGGTTGGAAGGGGGAGTGTTACACAGAGAGTGACCCAGGCTGCCCTGCAGCAGTCCAGTCCCTGCTGCTCCCTTGTTGGAAGAGCTGGACTGGAGAACATCAGCACAGACTGCAAAGGGCCTCTGAGCATTTAGTGAAGGAGAAGGGGGTGGGGGAATAAGGCAAAGAAAACTCTAAGTTTATCTTGAGGAGAAATAAGGAAAGGTGGTTGCTAAATGTCACTTATCCATCGTGATTCTCATACAGTAAATATGGTCACATGTCGTGGCATGCTGAGCCTCCTACAAGCGTTTTGCTGTGGGATGACACTCACACTGGGGCTGAGGGTGTCACAGAGGAACCAGCCATACTCAGAATGGAAAAGTCCAGAGATCCCTTAGCCACAAGGGAGGGTTTTCCAATATGGGCATCCCTCAGGCTCCTTCCTTCTGCTGAAGTCCAGCCAGCTGCAAAGATTTTCCATCAGACTGTCATTCTAGACAGTCCTTCTCATCTTCGGATCTTCTTTTCTGCAACATCTGCCTGATTTTACCTGCTCAGGTGTTCTTTGTTCTCTAGGGTCTCCCATTAACTCTGAGGTCGATGTCTAGAAAAGGGAGTGAAATAAATGCCTCGGGGAAGAG